GCACCCCCAGTGGCCGCGCGACCAGCACCAGCTCCCGGACGACAAGAGTCCTCTGCACCCACCGGGACAGCTCCAACTCCAGAACCAGAAACTCCAGCTCCAACTCCAGCTCCAACTCCAGCACCCCCAGAACCAGAAACTCCAGTGCCAACTCCAGCACCAACTCCAGCTCCAACTCCAGCACCCCCAGAACCAGAAACCGGTAAAGGAACAGGCGCAGCACCAACCTCTCGAGAGCTAGCACCAGCGGCACGCTGCGAGGAGGACTGTGGGGAGGGAGGCTGTACCGGAGGGGCTACCGAAGGAGGAGGGGTAGCCTGGGACACACCTGACGGGGCTGGACCAGGGGGGGGAGGCTGTACCGGGGGAGCAGGAGGGGGGGCTGCAGTCAGGAAGAGGGGGGGAGGAGGAACCGGGAGACCTCGACTGGGGTACCTGACGTAGTACGGAGTGGACTCCTCGAAACGGACGTCACGGGAGTCAAAGAACCGGTGAGAGGGAGGGTGGTAAAAGGTGAAGTCAGAGGAGTCCTCAGGAAAACCAAGGAAGACACAGGGGACGGCACGAGGCGAGAGCTTGTCCGCGGAGGTGTCGCGGACAAGAGCCAAGCACCCCCAGACGCGAAACCGCGACGCAACACCAGGGGACCCTGTCCAAAGACTGGTCGGTGACACCTCTGGTCGAGAGACACGTGGCCAGAGGTTCAGCTGGTGCGCGGCGTACCTGACCGCGTAGGGCCACAGAAAATGGGGGGCACAGGCGTGAGTCAGGGAGGTGCGGGCGATCTCCATGACCAGGCCTATGCGGCGCTCAGCAACCCCATTCTGCTGTGGGGACTCTGGAAGCGTCCAGGATTGACGAATGCCCTGCTCGCGACAGAATCCAGCGAGAATGCCGGAGCGAAACTCACCCCCACGGTCGGAGTGGAGACAGCTGACACGACGACCACGAGTGTCCTCGGTGGTGAGCAACCACCTGATCAGCGTAGAAGTCACCTCAGACTTCTTCGCCAGAGGGAACACTGTGGTGTAGCGGGAGAAGTCGTCAACGACCACCAGAAAGTAACGCTCACGCTCAGGGCCTAGACGAGGGGCGGGGCCCCAGACGTCCAAGTGAAGCGTCTCAAAAGGCTCGGTGGCCGGACGTAGGGAGGAGGAGTGAGGGGTGGCGCGCAGCCGACCCTCGACGCAGGGACCACACGGCGGCGCAAGCGAAGGCGGCAGCGACGGCAAGACACGTGGGAGGCCTAGGACAAGACGCTGACTGGACATAGCGCGCAGACGAGGAAGGGACGGGTGCCCCATCCGGTGGTGCCACAGAACGGTGGGGTGGGCAAGCGACCGGCAGGAGCACGACGTAGCGACTGGAACAGACGTAGGAACCAGACACGACACAGACACCTGGGGGGACGAAGCAACCTGGTGAGACGCGGGGACCCGAACGGGGGGGGGGACCGGGGGCAGTGGCAGTAGGGGGGGCTGCTGGTGCGGCCGCTGGTGCTGCTGCTGCTGCTGCTGCTGCTGCGGCTGCGGCTGCTGCTGCTGCTGCTGCGGCTGCTGCTGCGGCGCACGCGGGCCAGTGTGAAGAGTGTAGAGACCCGAGCCCGGCTCAGCAGTAAAGGTAGCAAGAGGCTGGTAAGAGTCTCCGTCAACACACACCGCAGTCTCTCCAGAAGGCTCAAACCACACACCCACGTGCTGACTCACAAGGGGTCGCACGCCCACCAAGTTCCGGGAGAACGAGGGGACGTGAAACCCAGTGAGAGACCCGGAGGGAGCAGCAGGACACGGTAAAGTGGTAGTGTGACGTGCAGTGACTGGTCCCGTAGTGGGATCAGCCAACGCAACAGAAACAGGCGCAGGAAGTGGTGTAAGTGTCGTGCTGTCCCGGAAGAAGCAGTGGGAGGCTCCAGAGTCCAGCGTGAACGACAGCGAAGCGTCCTCTGAGGTAGTCGCTGGTCTAGAGTCTACACAAGAACCTACACTAGCAACAGGCAACTGAGCAAGACTAGCACCTAAGCTAACAACACCAGAGTAAACAGAGTCAGAAACACGAGAGTCAACAACAGCATACATAGCATGAGGAGCACTAATCAGATCAACTAACTGCTCAGCAGACATGCCCCACAGAGCGGAGCCGTAGCGCTGAACCAGAGGAAGCCAGTCAGGAGCAGGACCGCCAACCCCGTAGGCCAACCGGACCGTGTCAGTGAGCTGAGCAAAGCACTGACCAGGGGGGTGAAAGCGGCCACAAGGGTGGCCCCGACGAGGACCTGTCAGAACCTGGTAGGGGCAGGGAGGGTAAGCAGTACCGCGCTGGGGCTGACGCAGCCCCGACCCCGGAGCCAGCTGCTGACGCTGCTGCTGCTGAGGCTGCTGGGAGGAAAGGGGCTGCTGCTGCTGCTGAAGGTGCTGCTGCCGCTGAGCCTGGTACCACGCCGCTGCTCCACCTAGCGGGGCCGGCAGTACAGGAGGCGACTGACGAGCTCGGGGGTCGCCGCCACCAGCAGGTGCAGTGGAGTCACCAGCCGCTGCACGAGGGGTCTCTCCAGACGCTGCACTCCCACCACCGCCAGTCGCAACAGCACCCCCACTACCTCCGCTACCTCCGCCTCCACCTCCACCAGAACCACCTTTCTTGCCCCCCCTGCCGCGGGACCGCGACGCAGTCGTAACAGCAGCCGCAGTCGCGTCAGTAGCGGCAGTGGCAAGAGAGGCAGTGAAGGTGGGTAACTGCGGGACTGTGCACCCGTGGAAGAGTGGGGGGGACACAGTACCAGAGGCGGCAGCTACCGAACGAAGGTTGCTCTCGACGTCCTTGAGTGCAGACTCAAGGACCTCGATAGTTAGCTCACTAGGGTGCTTCAGCAGAAGCGCGTCACGAACGGAGGCAAGGCGGTCAGGGAGGCTAGTGGCGATGAAATAGACAGTAATCGCCATGGGGGGAGGAAGCAGTGCAAGCTGTGCCTCAGTGCAAGCAGCGCGGTAACTAGCGTCGAGCGAGCGGAGGTGAGCGATCAAGTCAGCAGAGCGCTCAAACGAGGCGAGATCAGGAAACAGGAACGGGAGGAAAAGACGGCCAAGAGAGACAGTAGCGGGAGTAGAGTAGCGGGCCTTAATCGCAGTGAGGTACGCAGCAGCGGTGCGAACCTGAGTAAAGTGGACCTCCTCGGACTCAGGGAGGAGGCTGCTGAGTGCGATGCAGGCCGCAGCGTCACGCGACGTCCAAGTCGTCCGGTCAGCGCGCTGACGGGCAAAGCGAGCCGTAGTAGTGTCGTCAGGGGCAGGGCCTAAAGCTGTAGGCTCGGGGGGCTCGGGGAGGTCACCAGTAGCGTGCGACCAGAGGGTCTCGCCCCCCTGGACCTGACTCTCTAACAGACGGCGAGCGCGAAGAAGCCAGACGGAAAAGTCAAGGGGTCTACCGTCAGCGTCGAAACGAAGAACTCGCGGAGTCGCCATAGTGAGAACTAACGCAAACGAACAGGCGAGTAACAACCGGGAGGAAGAGGACTCAGTCGCAGCGGAAGAGCGGGCTAGGGCGACGGGCCAGGGCGTAGGGTAGGGCAACCGGCCAGGGCGTAGGGTAGGGCAACGGGCCAGGGCTTAGGGTAGGGCGACGGGCCAGGGCTTAGAGTAGGGCGACGGGCTAGGGCGTAGGGCAGGGCGACGGGACGGGAGAAAGGGCGGGAGCGACGCGACGGGGCAGGGCGACGCGACGGGGCAGGGCGATGGGACGGGACAGGGCGACGGGACGGGGCAGGGCGACGCGACGGGGCAGGGCGATGGGACGGGACAGGGCGACGGGACGGGGCAGGGCGACGCGACGGGGCAGGGCGACGCGACGGGACAGGGCGACGGGACGGGGGGGGAACGGGCGGGCACGACGCGACGGGGGGGAACGGGCGGGCACGACGCGACGGGGGGAACGGGCGCGACGCGACGGGGGGAAAGGGCGCGACGCGACGGGGGGAAAGGGCGCGACGCGACGGGACAGGGCGACGCGACGGGGGGGGGGGGGGGGGGGGGGGGGGGAAGGGCGCTAGGTAACGGGGAGAAAGGGCGCTAAGCGACGGGGGGAAAGGGCGCTAGGCTCGGTACTAGGCGCGGTAACAACGGAACTGGTACGAACGAGAGGTAGGGTCAGGCTCGGGAGGTACGAACGGAGAACGGAGGAACGGGATCCCACAGGATCCTAACCTAGCTGATACCATATCAGAATGAGGAATGGATGATGCCATTGATGTTGGTTGGGGTACATATAACAAACCCTAACTTCTGTACCCCCTAAGACAAACCTCACTATAGGCTACAACATTTGACAGGTATTGGGGCGAAGTTTCTCCGAAATTTCCTCTCGATAACCTCGCCTTCGGATTGATCGCATCGCAGCACCCCCCATATGCGGAATCCCCCTTCCACCACTTTATCGAAACGAAACTTCTCGGAAATTTCGTCTTAATACACCCACCCACCATCAAGATCGGCCGAATCTGCAATGTCAGATATATGTTGCTGTGATTGGTCGAAATGGTTGTGCTCTGACAGCGGCTGTTGTGCCAGGGCCATTTCTCTGTGATTGGGCGAATCTGTTGCTCTGTACTGTACGGCGCGAATGCACTTTGTCAACGCGAATTTGCTACAGTTTGACGCTGGTGCTGTGATGTGAGCAGTCAACTCGGGTCCAAATCACCTGTCACATACAATGCGCAACCAGAAATCTGAAGAACGAACGTTCGTCCAATTTGATTGGTCATCAAATCCACACAAGATCTAAATATCCGAACCATACCAAATTTCGATAATGCACAGCGCGTTACTAACCCTGATCCTGACTTCTCAACCCTGAGCAATCAGGCTATAAAACTTCCCAACACTGAGCAATCAGGGTGATGTTTTTCTGAAAAATGTGCACCCATAATACAGGGGGAAAATTTTTCCCGGATTCAGGGAGGCCTAATTTGAAACGTCAGCCCTGGTCAAAAGGGCAGTGCATGTTTATGATCACCTGGCCAGCTCAGGAAACGCCCCTGACAATGCATCCTTGATCTCTCCCCATTCCTCCATCATCTCCTCATCATAAGCCTCGGAATTCTCGGGCGGCGTAGAAAACGTGCCGAGCTTGCTGCGCCAGAAGTCATCACGGAAGGTGAGGAAGTTGAAGAGCTGCTCCACCTCCAACACCTCCCACGGGCGCAGCCCCGGGATGCGCTCCGCCAGCTTCTTCCTGCACAAGGGTGGCAGTGAGGAATAGGGAAGAAAGAATGGGAAATGAATGGTGAGGGATGAGGAAGCTGAACCAGCTGCTCCACCTCCACCACCTCGCACAGGCGCAGCCTTGAAATGCCCTGCGCCAGCGCATGTGGAACGGGGGATTTAGGGGATTGGGAAACGGAACAGGGATGACGAAAATAAGGATTGGGGAATGGGGAATCGATAATGGGCATGAGTAATGCATATGCATGGTAAGGGCGTATTCCTATCCTCCTATCAATCTGACCTCCTATCAAGCTCACACTGAAAAATCCCCTAGACCCAAAACCTCTCGCTTCTTTTCCCAGGCAAAAGTACAATCTTGATAGGAGGTGGCCTTGATAGGAGGCTGTAGGAATACGCCCTAAGGGAGGGATGTGCTATGGCATGAAGCAGCGCCTCCTGCATGGGTAAACATCTGAGAGGTGCTGCGTACCTCACAGTTCTGAGACGTCTCAAAACGAGATGTGCTATGGCATGAAGCAGCGCCTCCTGCATGGGTAAAGGTGCTGTGTACCTCACAGTCTCGTGCTGTGTGGGCCTTTTAGGTCGACTCAAAAACCGTCAGTCTCACTCACCTTTGCTCGTAGGAGATGAACTTGCTGGGAAACTTCTTGGGCTTCTGGTCCAGCACCTTAGTCAGCTCGCTCCCACTAGCCCACAGGAAGAGAGCGTGCGAGGGGGCCTGGTTGCCCGGCCACGCTCCCCCGTGGTTCTTCAAGGCAGCGCGCTCCCGCTCCTTGTCTGCCAGGGCCTCTGCCTGGCGCTCCTCCAGCGACCTCTTGCTGCCCTCGAAGCCCTTCTTCACCTTGAGCGGGTTCATGCCCCTCCCGATGCGGTGCAGCATGGCCGTGCCTGCCGTGGCCAGGCGCACTGGCAGGTTGGTAAGCAGAAGCAGAAGCAGCAGCAGCAGCAGCAGCAGCAGCAGCAGCAGCAGCAGCAGCAGCAGCAGTGGGGGGTGGAGGGAAACGGGGAAACAGAGGGTGAAAAGGGGTGGGGTACAGGGTAATGGGGTTACTGCTCGTCTAGGGTGGAGCAGTGCAGTGCAGCACGCTCCCACTCCTTGTCTGCCAGGGCCTCTGCCTGGCGCTCCTCCAGCGACCTCTTGCTGCCCTCGAAGCCCTTTTTGACCTTGAGCGGGTTCATGCCCCTCCCGATGCGGTGCAGCATGGCCGTGCCTGCCGTGGCCAGGCGCACTGGGAAGGAGTGTGAAGGAGTGAGAGGGAGTGGAAGGAGTATGAAGGAGTGGGCAGGAGTGCGACGGAGTGGGAAGGAGTGGGGGAGTCCGAGGACAGGGCGATGTCAGGAGGGAAGGGAGTGGGGGTGAGAAGATGTGATGCAGCATAGCCGTGCCTGCTGTGGCCAGGCGCACTGGCATGGTGGGCGAAGAGGAGGAGAAGAGAGGGGGAGGAGTGGATACGCCTCATGCCGTGTGCTGTGCCCCACTCACTCACCATCAGGCGTGTCAATGGCCTGCTTCAGCCCATACACGGCATCAATGGGGGCAAACTCGTCCATGTCATCGCCCCACACGAAGGTGTTGCCGTCAATGATCCCCGCGGCCCATGCCGTGCGCAGGTTGATCACCTCGCAGGGCCCCCGTGTGCGACCCAGGCGGTCCTTGTAATACCACGTGCTGCCACGCAGGGTGACTGGGAGAGGAAAGTTGGAGGAAGGAAAGAAAGGGTTTGGCATATAACAACCATTCACCGTGCAGGGGCCCCGCGTGCGACCCAGGTGGTCCTTGTAGTACCACGTGCTGCCACGCAGGGTGACTGGGAGATGTGGAAGGGGGAAGGGACAACAGGGGAAGTGGAGAGGTGGGGTGTGCAGGTGGGTTGGAGTTGGCGTATGAAAGCGAGTCACCTCGCACTGCACTGCACTACACCGCACTGCACTGTTCCCAATAACTCACAATCGAGGTATCTCTTCTCGAGGAACTTGGTGCCGACGACCTGCTGGATGTCAAAGGGCTTCTCGGCGGGGTAGGGGCGCTACTGGCAGCCCCACAAGCCGAAGAACCACAACACCTCCCCCCGCACTGCACTGCACCGCACTCTACCGCACTGCACTGCACAACACTCTACCGCACTGCACTGCACCGCTCTACCGCACTGCGCTGCATCGCTCTACCGCACTGCACTGCACCGCTCTACACCACACTGCACTGCTCCCAATAACTCACAGTCGAGGTATCTCTTCTCGAGGAACTTGGTGCCGACGACTTGCTGGATATCAAAGGGCTTCTCAGCGGGGTAGGGGCGCTGCTGGTAGCCCCAGAGGCCGAAGTGGAAGGTCTTGAAGAAGTCGAGAAACACGTTGCCCGCCTTCTCCTTGTTGCCCGCCAGGCCTAGACGCACCAGCTTGCCCGTGCCAAAGGGAGCTGATGGGAGGGAGGAGAGCGGGGGTCACAAGGGGGGAGAAGAGGAGAAAGATAGGTGTGAGGGGGTGGGAATTAGTGCCTATTCAATTTGCCCCGTAGGCCCAGCCGCACCACACCAGCTTGCGGGTGTCAAATGACGCTGCTGGTAGCCCCAGAGGCCGAAGTGGAAGGTCTTGAAGAAGTCGAGAAACACGTTGCCCGCCTTCCCCTTGTTGCCCGCTAAGCCAAGACGCACCAGCTTGCCCGTGCCAAAGGGAGCTGGGAGGAGGGGGAGCGGAGAGAGAGGGGGAGGGGAAAGAGGCGAAAGATGGGTGAGAGGAGTGGAAGGAAGAGAAGGAAACACGTTGCCAGCCTTCTCCTTGTTACCCGCCCGTCCTAGACGAACCAGCTTGCCTGTGCCGAAGGGGGCTGATGGGAGGGCGAAGAGCACAGGGGAGAAAAGGTGGGGGGGGATTAGGGAAAGGGAAGAAACGCGGTGCTGCTGGTAACCCCAGAGGCCGAAGTGGAATGTCTTGAAGAAGTCGAGAAACACGTTGCCCGCCGTCCCCTTGTTGCCCGCTAAGCCCGGCCGCACCAGCCTGCCCGTGCCGAAAGGAGCTGGTGGGAGGGAGAGCAGGTGTGGGGTTGGGGAGGGGGAAGGGAAAGAGGAGAAAGATGGGTGTGAGGGGTGAGGGGAAGGGAACGAAACACGTTGCCCGCCTTCTCCTTGTTGCCCGCTAAGCCCGGCCGCACCAGCCTGCCCGTGCTGAAAGGAGCTGGGACGGAGGAAGAAGACGGTGGCGGCGCAGCGGCGCAGAGGCGCAGAGGCGCAGAGTGCCGGCGGATCTCCTCTCCTTGTCATGACTCCGCAACCAACCAAGCAGGACATACCCGCATTATCGACCTTTCTTCCTCACCCAGAATGAGAAGCATCTTCTTCCAGAGCCCCTTGTCCTTCGCGTGCAACTGCGCAGAGTGCCACCAGCATGCTTCGCAGCCTACCATCACATCACCTGCTACCACCTACCATCACCTGCTACCACCTACCATCACCTGCTACCACCTACCATCATCTGCTACCACCTACCATCACCTGCTACCACCTACCATCACCTGCTACCACCTACCATCACCTGCTACCACCTACCATCACCTGCTACCACCTACCATCACCTGCTACCACCTACCATGACCCACACGCCTAAGAACCGCCGCGTACCGGGAATGAGGCGGCATCTTCTTCCAGAGCCCCTTGTCCTCCGCGTGCAGCGGCGCCGAGCGTCTGGTTACCCTGTTACCACCAAAACTACCACATACCAGTAATGAGCGGCATCTTCTTCCAGAGCCCCTTGTCCTCCGCGTGCGCGGAGTGCCACCAGCACGTTCTGAAGCCTCCCACTGCCTGTTACCACCCACCATGATTATTCACTTGCCTACCCCCCACAACGTAGGAGGACCCACACGACCCGCGTACCGGGAATGAGCGGCATTTTCTTCCAGAGCCCCTTGTCCTCCGCGTGCAGCGGAGTCCAGCCTAGCATCACCTGCTACCCCTACCATGACACACACACCCAACCCCTAGTCCCGTACCGGGAATGAGCGGCATCTTCTTCCAGAGCCCCTTGTCCTCCGCGTGCAGCGGCGCGGAGTGCCGGCGGATCTCCTCCTCCTGCTGCCGCCTCGCTAGCTCCTCCGACTTGAGCAGAAACTGCGTCATGCGGCTGTTGGCCACCTTCTGGTACAGCTGTGGCGGAGAGAACGAAGGAACGGTCGGAGGGGGGAGGGGGGAGGGGGGAGGGTGGGTTGGGAAGAGAGGGGAATGGGGGTAAACTGCATCATGCGGCTGTTGGCCACCTGCTGGTACAGCTGCGGTACGGAGAGAGGAAGACAAGGACAGGGTAGGACAGAGGAGGAAATGAGGGGAGGCACAGGAGGTAGATGAAGGAGGGGTGGGGAGAGAAGGGCGCAGAACTGAAAAGGTCCATGAGAAGATGCACAAAACCCGTGTCGACAAATTAAGCCTTATACCAGTCGCAATGACCATCGGTCGTTCAACTAAGAAGCAATTCTCCAAAGCGATCCTGATTCGGCGCATTGTCATAAGAATGACACGGAACTCTGGCGAAGGAACCTCCAGCACGAATCTCGGATGTGCAGCTCGGTATAGAGTCAGTGATGTGTTTTGAGTCGACTCAAAACACGATCCTCGCGAAGAGATTTTCTGCACGAATCTCGGACGTGCAGCTCGGTGTAGAGTCAGGGTTGCTGACGTACTATCCTATCCACCAATAATCACCCATGCGCTAGGTATTGCCGGAGGTGCCTCTTGAGCCAGAGTAACTGCCAACTTTGTAAATCCATCTACGATCACCCACGCGCAAAAAAATGCCTCGTTCTCAACAGGCTCTCGTCGTATCGCTCTTGAGTTAACCTCAGCGTCGTCGTCGTTATCCTGTCATTCAGCACGTAGGTGTAACTTTCAAAAACCTCAGAAGCACTTACTCAGGAACATTCTGCCTTCACCATCCAAGGCTAGGAGTGAGCGTTAGTGGCATTAGCGCGACCGACAGCGCGTCATTAGGGTAAACGCTAGGCCGTGAGAACGACTATTTGCAGTCTATTCCTCTCTCCCCGCACCTAATCCAGCGTCATTTCCTCCCCACCACCATTTCCTCCTCTGAAACTGGCCATATCTGCCTGTCGTACCTTCTTGTTCGCGGCTAGCTCCTTCGACGTCGCTGGTCCCTTGCGAACATATTTCGGCTGCTCCGAATCGTCGATCTCGACAGGATCGTTTCGCCGCTCCCATTTCTGCATCAGATCGGCGGCTAGTTGCTGGTTGGCTGCCGCTTCAGTCGCTGCTGCTGACGTGGCAGCAGGCGCAGAGGCAGCTGCGCCTTTCTTTGCGGGAGCCGGTTTGGCCATGACTCGGAGGATCACTAGCCTCGGGTCGAGAAGTTTATTAACAGAGTTGAAGTTAGAAATCGACTGCTAGAACCAGGTTCTGAACTTCTTTTCCAATCGATCTCCTCTACGCGGTACCTCTGGCTTGGGGGGTGAGGAAAACTTCAGACCAGAATATCAGTCCTGCCGTGTTCTAAGTGTTGGCGATTCAGCCGGTCAATGTGCGGAACGAAACCTCGACCTAGGACGAGGCAACTGAGTTTGCGGCGAGGCAACTCAGGAATGGTCCTGCTTAGTGTGCCTCAGACACTGAAGCCTATGATCCGAAGGCAATGGAGCCTGAGAGGAAACTGCAAGCCCTCGAAGGAATGTGAGGGGAGAGGGATTCTAGCTCGCCCAGAGAATCCCAAGGGAGTGCTGAGAAATGTTTGTCTCCCCCACCCCCAGGGACACCGTGAGTAAGAAAGGATGTGGTTTGGGCGATGTTTGGAGTGGATGTGGCAGCCACGTGTTTCCCTATCATTGACGAGACATCCACAACCCCGCCTTCCATCCAGGCAAATTCACTATCGATAGTGCTTGTGCTGAAAAATGTACACTTCGTCCTCAACCGCACTAAGTCACAATATTGTAGTTAGAAAATATCATTACACGATGTTATTATACTACTCACTTGTACGTACGAAATATTATAACATAATAATATTTTGTTTATATTTCATAATTTATCTATTCTCACCATCATTTATGATGATTGTCACTGATTATATGAGCCTTCTACAAGGTACACGTTCTAGCTGGCTGAAATATGCTTATCGAAACAGTAGTCATCATGTATGACGAAGTTGGTGGGAGATGGTCGGTGGGACCATATTGTTGAACCGTTTCTACTCTCGAGGATGGTTCGGCTTTGAGAGAAAAACTGCGTGGATAGTCCACCAACATACACTCTACACCGGCAGTTTGGTTGGAGTGTTGTGTTGGGTGTCGAATCTAGACAGACTGGCAGAACCGACAGAGGCGAGCTGGGCGCTTGGTCATTCGCCGTAATCAGCAGGTTGACGACGGTCACACCAATCGACGTCCAGGAAATGACGTTAGACGTGAAGCCGCTTGTGCTGGCGACTCAGCCCAAGCTGCTCGACGGTTTTGCTTCGAAACAGCTTTGGTTGCGACTCCATAGTTTGTGGAGAGGTGTTTAGCCAACCAAACTGGTTCTGGGTTCAGACAGGTCAGGGAAACTTGTCTGCTTGTACTGAGGAAATTCGATTGGTTGAACTGTACCGAGTCGCATGTGAGTTTCATGACTGCGCATCTCTCCAAACTGGAGGAAGAAGTCGCACAAGCGACATGTATGAGCCTGTGCGAAAGCACCTGAGCCTCGGTGATGCGAGAGTTACAAATGAATGTCTGCACCGCAAGCAACGGCCCCACCTGTGGTTATCGCCACCTTGCCATTCCGAGTCGCAGATTCCTTCTCAGATCAGTCGATCTCCACCACATCGGCGGCAGCAACCTTGCACCGTACCAGACAAGACAGCATGGCCCTCAAAATTCCTTCACATCATCACATCACATCAGCAGCCTCCCTCCACTTCAAATTTCTGATCAGGCTGTACTAAGCGGCGGCATCCCGCCTACCTCTTATGTGTAGCATCATCCTCGTCGGTTTTCAAAGCCTTTAGGTGTTTATTTCTGCAGAAACAGCTGGGCTCCAGTAAGGCTACTAAAACCTGGACAGGAAAACGCCTCTTAGCTGACGCCTGTGCCAAATTCATCCCGTCCCCCAGTGATCGTAGCCCCTGCCATATATATTTTTTTCCGGCAACTGGACTTACACAAACAGCCCGAATTTTAGCGTGCTTTTCTCATCGCTCCTCTCGCTATCGCACTACGCTGAGTAACGATGGCGCAGAATAACCGCGCCTTCGCGCTCTTCAGTATTTCTCTTTTCCTCTGCACTTCCCTCTCGTCCGCCTTTTCCTCCCTTGGCGATCGTCGACTCACCTCACGCGAGCGAATCCTTCGCGACGGAGCGCTGCTTGCCGACCGAAGCCACTCCGTCATCTTCAAGAAAGGCTCATCGAGCGACAATTCCGTCAATTCTGCCGGCAGCGGAGCAGACACCCGACGTAATCTAAATGGCGGTCCGGTGACGTCGTTCGCGATTGCCAACGGCATCTCGCGGGGCAGTCTCATCCAGAGCGGCTTCGACGACGCCGCGAGCGATCGCTCCGAGTCGTCCAGCGATCGCTTTCAGTCGCATGGCGAACAATTCAGAGATCCGAGCGATCAGTTCGAGGCGCCTTCGCTCACCATTTTCTGCGCTCCGAAACCCTACTCATCCATCGTGGACCCCTCAGACCCAAACCCCGACTCGCAGCGGCGCGCTTTGCTCTCCTGGCTGCGCCTCTCCCCACCTCCGAAAGTCGTCCTTTTCGGCAACGACACGTCGTTCCACGAGCTCGCGCGTCGGTTTCCCGAGCAAATCTCCGTCGAGCCGCTGATCGACAGCAATTTCTACGGCGTGCCGCAGTTTCACAGCATGGTGGCGCGCGCTCAGGCCGCGTCGACCGAGATTTCGATGATCATCAACGGCGATATCATCCTCCTAAATGACGTCATGCTCGCGTTGCAGAAGACGCACGGAACCTTCCAGCACTGGGTGATGACAGCGGCGCGGTGGGACATGCCGGGAGATTTCCCGTACTCGTTCGAGCCGCACATGTGGGGGCAGCGGGGGCTGGCTCGCGGGCGCAGCCACGCGGCGATGGAGGAAGAAATCCGCGGGTTTGTACGCGATATAGGCACGCTGCACACGTACGGTGGGGTGGACTTTTGGGCGTGGAACAACGACTCACCCGCGCCGCTGTTCGACGGGGTTATGCCGCCGTTTTCGTTCGGGCGCGGGAAGTACGACAACTGGTTCACGCACGAGATCGTGGCGGCTGGGCGGCGGACCATGGTCGACGCCAGCGAGGCAGTCACGGCGATCCACGTGGCGCATTCTTACTCGCACGTGGTAGAATCAGCCTCGACCAAGAGCATCGGCGGGAAGGACGGAAACGGTAACGAAAACGGTAACGGAATAGCAGCAGGGAAGAACTTTTGGAGCACGCGAAAGAAGAGCAGCTGGGAGCTGTTCGGAAACATCCACATGGCCATGACACATGGTTCATACGCCAATCAGAAGGGCACCGCGCTGCACGTGCCCTGGAAGCTCGCCACGTGTCACGAGCCCTCCGTGCACAACATGTGCCTGCAGCAGCGCCTTCGCCCCGCCACGTGTACCTGCGAATCCGCAAATTTCGTTAAATCCAGCCAGACCGACCCGAAGCTGGATAAGACGGGCAGGAAATGGACATGTGGCAGCGTGTCAGTGGACAGGAATTCGGATTACAGTATCCCCACTCTTCCTCCTCCTTCACCCGCCTCCTCCCCTGTAGGCCTCCCACACACCATGGAACAGCTACTGCCCACAATTGCTCGGAGCGTCCCAGACGGGCGGGGGGGGGAGCTACAGGTGGTAACCCTAGTGGCGGTAACCGCGGGGTACGCGGAGATGCTGATGAGCTTCGTGTGCCGCCTGCGCTCCCTCGGCCTCGCCTCCAACCTCCTCGTTGCCGCGCTGGACGAGGACTTGTACCGATTCGCCTTCACTCAGGGCCTGCCCGTGTACTATGAGCAAGTCAGCCAAGGACTGAAGGGGGTGGATTCAAAGGACTGTGCCTTTGGCAGCCAGTGCTTCAGGCAGTTCACTAAGCTGAAATCGCGGGCTGTGCTTCGGGTGCTCAAGGCGGGGTATTCTGTGCTCTGGACAGACGTCGACATTGTCTGGTTCACCGATCCTCTCCCGGACCTGCTCTCGTATGGCCCAGAAACTTTCCCGATCCAGAGCAATGAGCCAAACGTGACTCTGCCTGGGACTGGCATTCGGCGAATTAATTCTGGGTTTTACTTCGCTCGGGCAGATAAAAAGACGGTGGCGGCATTTGAGGCGATCACTGCGCATGCAGCCACTACGAGACTGTCAGAGCAGCCGAGTTTCTATGATATCCTGTGCGGGGTGAAGGGTGAGAATGTCGTGGAAGGGAAGGAGGAGTGTGTGTGGAAAAACGGCCTTCGCACTATCTTCCTTGATAGGGTGGTGTATGCGAATGGTGCTGCGCATGGGTTTTGGGACGAGGAGGATGTGGAGGAGGCCTGCAGGAGAAAGGGCTGCACTATTTTACACAACAACTGGATTGCTGGGAAGGATGCCAAGAAGCAGCGGTTTGTGGTGAACTCGTTCTGGCACTATGATGCCGAGAAGAGAATGTGCATGTGGAGATGGCACAGTGGCGCATCTCACAAAGTAGCTGCGGGGAGCAGAATCTCAGCCATGAAATAAGCGAGTTGCTAAAATCTAACAGGTCCTGTTGTGTTAGTGAATTTGTATATTAGCATTACTACCAGGTCCTGTTGTATCACAACCATTCTACTTGTATTATAGACTGACACTTCCCCAATTCCTCAGCGTATCGAGGCCACTTACATGATGGTGCCAGTGAAACCAGCCAGCCCAGGTTTGCCTCACTTCGCCTATGGATGCCATCAGGCAGCGTGGTCAGGTTGGACGAAACATTTTTCGCTGAATTCGCACACTGTGATTGGTGCTGCTAGGCAAAGCCAGCCTGCCCACCACACGCAACCCCAACATGACCAGCCGCGTTCTCTTGACCTAAAGCTTTCGCCAAGTAACCACAAGCAGCGAAGTTCTAGCCACGCAGAGATATCGTGGAGCAGAGTCGTTAGGAGAACAAATTGCTTTCTAGTTCGTTCGCGTTGATTCGTTACTCGTTGTCGTCAACAGAATTTCGTTGAGCTTATCCCACACCTTTCGGATCGCGCCTCGTGCAATGCTTTTATTCCCCGCCGTCAAACTAGATTGCTACTTGCCCCTCTCTTAGGTGACACAGGAGTCAGTCATTACGGCTATCCTTATGCCTTGTGCTGGAGCCCAATAAGTACCTTCGAATATC